TAGAGACTCCAGGGGTTCACCGTGCAGTCTTTGGGAGAACATATGATACCAGTGGTAGAACCAGGATCAGGCACACTAAGGCATGTGCTCTCGCTCCTAGACTGTCTCCTCAGTCCACTTATTTTATTTTTGTCAAGCCTTCACACTATTTTCCTTAACAACTGAATCAATTGAAGTCCCACCAGTAGAACAAAAAGGTTTCTTTTTCTCTAAATCCTAAACACCTTTTCAGCACTATATATACTAACAAGAGCAAAGTGCTATTGTAGGGATATGTTGATTATGATTAGTGATGTCGAGTAACTTTTAATTTGCTATTGGCATTATTTGTTACCTGATAACATAGCGGATAAGGTGCTTGCCTTGCACACAGCCAACCCGGTTTCAATTCCTTCACCCCTTTTGGAGAGCCAGGCAAGATACCAAGAGTATTCTGCCCGCACAGCAAAGCCTAGCAAGCTACTAGTGATGTATTTGATATACCAAAAACCGTAACAACAAGTCTCACAATGAAGGTGTTACTGATGCCCACTCAAGCAAATCGATGAACAACGGGAGGACAGTGCCACAGTGCTATTAAATTCATTGTTCATTTTAAATTCTTTTTCCTGAGTTGTTGTAAATCAGTCTTTTACCAGAAACGTCATTTGCAAATATTTTCTCCCATTTCTTACTGCCTTTTCATTATGTTGATAGTTTGATTTGCTGTGCAGAAAATGTCTGATGTAGTCTGACTTGTTTATTTTTTATTTTGCTTCTTGTACTTTGATTTCAATTCCCAAAACTTCATTGCCAGGAGTTTAACATTTCAGGAAGTTTATCACTTTTTGTGGGGGCCACACCCCACAGTGCTCAGAGGTTACTTCTGGCTCTGTGCTCAGGAATTACTCCTGTTGGGCTTCAGGGGACCATATGGGATTCCATGTATCAAATCTGGGTCAGCAGCATGCAAGGCAAATACCCTATCCCAATATTGGCCCCTTCAGGAATTATTATTTTTTATTTATTTATTTTTTTGCTTTTTGGGTCACACCCGGCGATGCACAGGGGTTACTCCTGTCTTATGAACTCAGGAATTACTCCTGGCAGTGCTCAGGGGACCATATGAAATGCTAGAAATTGAACCCGGGTCTGCCGAGTGCAAGGCAAACACCCTACCCGCTGTGCTATTGCTCCAGCTCCTGAGTTTTTATTTTGAGCTGATTTTTGTATATAAGATGAAGTCTACTTTATTTTTTGCATATAAATATACAGTTTTACCAACATTGTTGAAGAGATTATCCTTTCCTATTGTGTATTCTTGGTACCTTTGTAAAAATTCACTGCAGCATTATTAATCTACAGTAGCAAAGATATGGAAATATCCTAAGTGCTCATCAAACAATGACTAGAAAAAGAAATGTATGCAAAGAATATATATATATAGTGTTATAATATCTATCTATCTAACCTTAAGTGGGAAACTATGCCATCTACAATAATAAGGAAAATCCTAAAGTACATTATGCTAGGTGAAGTAAATCTTACAGAGAAAACAATATATTATTATCATCTTACTTATATGTGGAATTTTTTAAAGTCAAACTTAAAAAGAAAAGAAAGTAGAATTATGATTATCATAGCCCAAAAGATGGGAAAGTGGGGGAAATATTGATAAAAAACAATAAGATGATTAAATTATAAAGACTTCATATACCATGCTGAATATTAGTTAATGCTATTGTATTATATACTTGAAATCAACTAATAAAATAAATTTTTAATGTGCTTACTACACTATACTATGGAGGTGATTAATATATAATAAGTATATCAAAAGACACTGTTGTAAACCCTAAATATTGACTTTTATTAAAATAAAAAATTAAGAGATGATAAGGTTAATGTGATTTGATTTTTGGCTTTACATTGATGAGGCAGAGACATATGGTTTGCACACAAAATGCAAATTTTGAAAACTTATCAGTGCTGAGAATCTACCATTGCAATTTAGTCCAATCTCTCAATAAATTTAGTAAAGAACTTCTATAATATTTTAGTGATCTAATCAACAAAGATTTCTTTGCCCTATTGCTCAACATTCATCATGACACAGATTTAAGTCATTAGCTCAAAAAATAAATACCAAGCACGTACTGTATACACAGCACCATAAGGCGACTATGGGGGGACCAAAACAAAGTAAATCTCTGCCCCACTGGTGTTTGATCTGGTGAGAATAAATAGTCAAAAAGCAAATAAACTCATTGTATAATAGTCCAGGTTTTGATAAGCGATGAATGCTTTTAAATTTTACAGCAGAAATAATTTTATTCATATTAGCACCTTCATTACTACCACTGAGGAGTTGCTAAGTTCTGCTCCTGCTGGGAGAGTCACAGAGAGGCCCTGAACACCACAACTTGGCTGATTGGAGCAATCATCCTGCTCTTCTCAGAGACATTGTAACTTAAGCATAAAGAAGATAGTGGGATGGGAAGAAAATTGGGAGCGTTCATCCAGATGGGAAGAAAACCCAGAGTTCATGTAATTATGTTAAGAGTTTGAAGTAGCCACGGTTGTAATGCAATAAAGTGAGGAACTAGGAAAGACCAAGGATATTAGCAATGACTGTCGACTTGGAGTAACTCTGTAACTTTGATTAAAAAAAAATTATGGGACAGATGAAGACTATTAGAATGGTTTCATAAGAAGAGATATGCCTAAAGTATGGTGCAGTTAAGATAACAATTTGAACCCCTGAAAATATTTCAAATTTAGAATTGGTCACTAATGGTGAAAAATAATCACCTATGTATCAACATGTTAACCCGTAGTTAGACTTAATGTACCTATTAAAAAAAGTCATCGAAGAGAGCACTGCCCAGTCTAAGTCATCTGCGGAAGGTTTACATCAGCAGTGATATTAGTGGACATAGTTGTCTGCAGAATGTTATTTATTCTAAATTCCTTCAAAAGAGTGAAAAGTGCTTATATTAAATTTGAAAACTAAGGAAGGATCCACAGTCAGTCTATTAAATAGTCCCCCAACACTAAGGCCATCAGAAAGACTATCTCTCATATTTCATTTCTTGAGGTTAATGATGAAGAATCTATTTTTCTCAATTTTATTATCTTCAGGATTTTGTTTCAACCTTGGTACTTTGGATATTTCAGAATTGTAAAATGACTTATGTGTCTAGGAGACAAAGTTTACTGTACTTGCTGAGCATATTTTTCCACTTGATAAATAATGGGTGCAAAATGGAATTGCTCCTTCAAAAGTAAAAGCTGAGCACAGAAAGTTTTGTTTTTAACTTTTGTGCAGGGCCCTAGAACATTAACTGTCTCACCCCCTCCTGGGACTAAGGCATTATGCTTTCCCATGACCTGAAGTGGAAAATCACTTGACATTCCTGGGATAAGCATGGAACACACACCATGTGAAGCATTATACATTTTATTCTATCTTACTTTTTCCTCTTGTTAGTTCCTTTATTTTGGCAGGAGATATGATGTGATGACATAAATTAGATATTTCAAACTCTAAGATTCTCGCACATAAGTTTTACTATCCTACTTAAAAACTTGTGAACTACCAGAGGTTACCCAGAAAAATGTTCCATGGAAGGCAAATGTCCTACCAGTTACACAATGATCTGAAACAATTTATTTAGATGGGCTTTTCATTGCCTTTTGAGTAGTGTGGCCACATGAAGCCAACTGACAGTATAGTAAGTGGTATTTCCTGATGTGATGAATCCCCCATCTAATGGTCTCCGAGCACGTCTCATGAATCATAATGGTTTTTGCACACAATTCAGTATATGCCCAGTGCAAGTTTACCAAGTAAGCCAACTTCTGCATAGGGGTTGGTTCTAAAAGTCTGCAGCAGGCAATTCAAACAAAATTGTGTTTACCTCTCTCCACCTTTTTTTTCCCTCCTAAGTTTACACCCTGAGTTTTTGTTAAATTTTAAAAAAGATATTCAAAACCACAGTTCAGCCACCTTGTAAAATGAAAGAGTACATTGTACAGGCACCAAAGGTCCACGTCAGTGCTTTTATCAAAATTGGGGCCTGCACGGCTGTGCTAATTGGAACCATGTGTGGAAAATGCAAGACAGGATTTTCAGCTGTTCACTAATTAAATGGTATAAAATAAAGCTACACTTCACATTTCTAACGTGAGTTTCTTGGGCTATTCTATTAGCTGGACCAATGTATGATCCTGAGTGAGTATTTTGACACCTGTGTGAGACACCAGGCCTACTGGTTATTCCTTTTATATATCAAGGTATTGCCTATGGCTCTATGTTGTAAGTGCTTCTCTGATAGCAGATGAAAGGCAGTGATAGAAAACCAAGTTCTTTCCAGCAAACTAGAAGATTGGCTCATGAAAAAAATGAAAGTATATTCTTATAAAGTTCAGTTACCACAAATTTTTTTTGTGAGGGGGGGAAAAGGGCTTCCTAACAAATTTACTCACTGAAACTTGTGAAGAAACAGTACTTATTATCTGCGTCTACTGGAAAGTGATAACTTTTGTCTCAAGCTTCCTGTTGAAACTTGAACAGATATAATTTGGTTTTCTTAAAACACACACACACACACACACACACACACACACACACACACTTTCTGTCACTTTACATGTATAATGCTTTATTATCTTGGGATCAAGATCCCAGGGAATAAGAGGTTGGTTCATAGTGTCTTTCAGAATGTAAGCCTCCTTCCATGTTTAGTGTCATTTATCATTCATACAGTGGCAAAGAGAGAGAACTCCACTCTCTCCCTGTCCAAACAAGGTTTGGATTCAGAACCATCATCTTTGCACAAAATATTGAAGCCTCAGGAAAGAAATGTGATGAATGCCTTCAACAGTGCAATAGGACTCACAGTGCCAAGCTCTATACTGAATTACTGATATGACAATTCCTCCAATGGTGTATCTGAGCAGCATTCTGAAGAAAATAGGAATACTAAAGCTGGGTTGAGAGTGTTTAAGTAAGATGGTGTTTGCTTTGGCAGTATGTATACTAAAATTGGAATGATAAAGAGAAGATTAGCATGGCCCCACACAAAGATGACATGCAAATACACGAAGCTTTCGATGATTTTTGAACACAGTGGGAAACTTGTGTAGAAACCCATTTAAGCTTAATGAGGGAAGATAATAACCCAGAGGACACTACCAGTACCAAACATCTTTTTAACCTTTCAGATAATGACTTTAGAGATGCCACGTTGAGGATGTTTAATGAACTCAAAGATATGATGGTTCTAGTAGTCAGAAAAGCACAAGAAAGTTTGAGAGTGGAATCAGAAAAAACTACAATCAATGTTGACAGAATTGAAGAATTTGGTAAGTTTAAGGTAAAGGTAAGGTAAAGGCCCTCCCGTTGATCGTCGATTTGCTCGAGCGGGCCCAGTAACGTCTCCATTGGAGACTTTGTTGTTACTGTGTCTGGCATATCGAATACTCTCGGTAGCTTGCCGGGCTCTCCGAGAGGGGCGGAGGAATCGAACTCGGGTCGGCCATGTTGGCCGCTTGTAAGGCGAACGCCCTACCCGCTGTGCTATCGCTCCAGCCCTTTACGATAGTTGGTAAGTTTAAAAAAAAAAAACCCAAACAGTGAAAGGAAAGAGCAGCCGAGGAAAACATTGGTGAGCTCCAAGATGAGATGCAAGAAACCTTTAGAAAGCAAAACAAAAGAAACAGAACAAAAACTTGGGAAAAAGTTTGAAAATAAATGAACAGCACACCAGAGAACTATGGAATAATTCACAAGGAACAATAAAAGAACCATTAGAGTCTCCAAGGAACAGAAAGATGAATCCAATAAAGAAATACTAGTCAAACAAAATCAGATAAGATTTTTCTAGAATTGACGAGTGCAGAGACCCAGATTCATGAAGTCTGAAGAGTTCCAATAAAATAAACACAAATGAAAAAAACAAAAACAAAAACAAAAAAAACCTCTGCACAACATAATCAGAATGAAAAGGCCGAAGACAGGAGAATATTAAAATCAGCAAGATCAAGGAAGTAGACACACAAAAGAGTCAAATAAGATTCACAGCAGATTTACCAAGCAACACTCCAAGGACCAGAATAAAAGGGTGGGATAGCAGCCGGGAGGGAGGGAGGAGCCAGAAATATAATAAAACAAAACAAAACGAAACTCAATGAAATTAAAAACCCATGAATACTCTATTCAGCTAGATTATCAATTAGATTTGAAGGAATGTTATAAAACTTTACGGACAAGTAATGGCTTAGGAACTTCATAGCCTTTTGCTAGACGTATTAAAGGAGCTTCTTTGAAAGATAGACAAACTTCACCAGTACACATAACTTCTACAAAATCATAGCAAAACGTATCTTTCATGTCAATAATAACACTCAATGTCAATGACCTAAAGACTGATTAAGAGATGGAGAAGCAGGATAGATCAGGAAACTGAACTCAACGTTCTGGTGCCTGTAAGTGGAACACCTGAATAGTCAGTATAGACATTTGCTCAAAGTCAAAGACATTTGCTCACAGTCTTACAGGCAATATCTTCCCTTCATAGGGAAGGGGTGGTTATACTTATGTCAGGCAACACAGATTCAAATTGAAAAAGGCAATATGGGGCAGGGATGGTCATTTCTTAATCAAGGGATCCGTACGTTATGAAGGTCACACTTTTCTCTGATTTAATCAGCTATGCCTGAGGTTTGGAGTGGAGCAGGGTGATAATTTCATCAGACAGGAGTACAGTATTGGACACCCTTGTACTACTTTCCAAGGTTCTATGAGCCCCACCTATAACAGCCTTCTCTGGCAATCAGGTCCAGGGGGGCCTTGCCCTACTTCAAAGAGGAAAAACCTAGTAGATGTGCTCCTTTTGTTTTCTGCCTCAGGGTGTCTCTGAGTTTGCTGGTACAGATCAATCAGAGGAATCTGCTGGGGAGTCCTACCGGCACACTGTAACAGTGGCAATAGCACTTCCAGGTCACCCTGGGTCACGAGAAATAGGAAACAATGGTTAATGCTAGTCCAATCTATACGCACTCATTAGTGGTGCTGTTCTGACCATACCCTTCAGAAGAGTGTGATGGGGGTGAATATAATATGCAGGAGAAGACATCTTTGCACTATCTCTGCTTCCATTTCTGTTTTATACTTTTTGTCGTGCTTCCCAGGATCACATTCCCAAATAAATAGGCTATATGAAAGCCCTTATTTCAGGCTCAGTTTTTTTGAGGAAGGCAGAATAAACAATTCTAGAATTGTGTGTGAGCAGGTTTTATATAAAAATGATCTAAACCATCCACATGACTAGTAGTTGAGTTATTTCTAAGATAGCAATTAAGTTGAAGGCCATTTCTAAACCAAAAGTGTGTGATTTAGGATGAAATTATATTCCATTTACTGGAACAATTTCCACCAAAAATTGCTCCTGCACTTTAATTCAATAAAAAGATGGGTGTGAATTCTAATCTCTCTTCTTTTCTGTAGAAATAAATATGTTTACAGGCTTCAAAAAGGGGTCAAAAAGTAGAGTGCCTTGTGCGATGCGAATTTAGGATAGAGGGCTTTCAAAGAGAGAAAAACCTACATATGAAACAATAAAACTCATGCTGAATGTTATTCAAATAGAAAATGAAAAGCAGAAATCTAGGACAATGGCAAATGAGAGGGTATGTGGATATATGAAAGAGAAAATTAAGTACAGGTGAGTCAGAGAGTGGTTTGGATTGAGTGAAGAAGAGTTAGGAATTAGGGCAGAAGCAAACACATTTTTTATGCAGTGCGGTTTTCAAAGACCCCTTAGTAAAATACAGAGAAAGTAATTACAAGTTAGTGCATAGCACATTGCAAATAATAGTTACCCTATTAAAAATCATTTATCAGAAACTGGAAGATGGGCACCGCAAAATTTTAACTCAGATAACAGTTAGAAATGGATATGTGAGTAGTGATCTTTGCGATTATATATTTTTCCATTAAAATATGTTGAATAATTTTTACATTTCTTAATTTAAAATTTGTGACTCATGAATTTCTGTTACTTAATTTTAGTGAAAATGGATTATAAAAAAATACTGAATAAAAAAACTGAGACACAGAAAACTAAGGGGTTTTCTTCTGTTACATGGTTACATTATTTATTTTATAACTTTTTTTCCCCCACACTCAACAGTGCTCAGGGGTTGCACTAAGAGATCACTCCTGGAGGACTTGGCCTTATTTGGGATGCTGGGGATTAAACTCAGGTGCAATCAAATGCCCCACATGCCGCACTGTTTCTCTGGTCCCTCAAGGTTACATTTATTAAGGGAATTAGACATGCATGCCAACTAAAAGGAGAGGCACATAAGGACAGAGTCCATGGAAGTTACAAATGTTACAATTCCATTGTCCTCAGGTGTTAATCTCTCAGTACTGATGAGTGATGTACATAGGCAGCAGAGTCAGTTCTGAAAACTGTTCTAAGCTTCAGGTTCCAGAGATTGTACTGAAAATTGACTATAGAGGTGACTAAGTGACTGACCACTTGCTGGAACTTGATCTCAGGGTTCTCTCCTTGTTAATGAGCTTGAAACCAGAAGCTGGTGGCTTCAACTTTCTTTGGTGTGGTCAGCCCCTATCCTTAAGTTACTAGGTGTGAACCATCCAATTCAGTCATCTATTATTCAGGAACATAAGATGCTCATGTGTATTGGGAGATTCTGTGTTAAGGTTAAAATTCAGATCTCTATTTGGATAAGGATAAATTTCATACTAGAGATCATTGGACATAATTGTTTTTCTGTCTTAATAGTCTTCAGTAAAGAACAGCAAGGTGGGCATGATGATTACTCCAATTTCCCTATCACTGTCAGCATTCCTTCATCCCTGTCCCCATGTTCCCTAGCCTCATGCCCAGCCCACTTCCTGAATAGGTATATTTTAAAGTTAAATTGTTAGGATGTGGGTCTCATTTCATAATAGTGTTGAATCTAGTGGTTTAATTTTATACATGTAACTTGCCTCTATAACACTGATGTCCCCATGTCCCCAATCACTGACCCCATGCTGCCTCCATACCATCTCTTCTTACCACCCTCTCCATTTCGCTCCATCCCAGACTTTCAATATCTGTAATCAAGAGTCAAGGATTTGCTTACCTTGTTATGTTATTTTATATACCATCGGTAAGTGAGAATATTCAGTGTTTGTCTTTCTTCAAATTTACTTCACATATCTTCCAGTTCCATCCAAGTTGCAGGGAATTGCACAATTTCATCCCTTTTTGTGGCAACAAAGCAATCCATTGTGTATATATAACACAGACCTTCATTATCCACTCATCTGTCTTTAGACTTTTGGTTTGATTCCATATTCTAGTTATTGTACTAAAGAGTGCAATGAACAAAAGACTGTATACGTCCCTTTGAATAGATGTTTTGGAGTATTGGTGGTAGCTACTAAGAAGTGGTTGCTGGGTTGTTTGGGACTTCTATTCTTTATTTTTTAGATATCTTCATAATGTTTTCCTTAGGGGCTGAACATTCCCAGCAGCTGTGCATGAAAGTTCCTTTTCTACCATATCCCTGCCAAACAGATTGTTTCTGGTCTTTTTGATATGTTGTTTTAGTTGTGTGAGATGCTATGGCATCAATAAAAGGTGATACTTTATTGCTATACACTTGTTTCATTAAGTAACAATTTCCTTAAATTAGGAGCAACAGACTTATATTTGGTATTAGATTATGGCTGCTACTAGAATCATGGCTACAGTCTCTTTTTAATTTAAAGTTTCAATGATTTAATTTTGTTACCTCTGGTTCATTAACTCTGGTTTACAAGCAGTGTTTATAATGTTTGAGGGGTTACTGTACCACACCCAGGACCAAAGTGCCAGTGTCCTTCCATGACGACACATTAAATCCTTCAGTCCTCTCGACCTGTAGCCAAGCCTGTGATCTAAGAGTCTGCATTTCCTGGACATTGTCACTGCCTGATTTGTTCCTTTGTATACCACACATGAGTAAAATCATCCAGTTGTAGTCTTTCTCCTTCTGAATTATTTTGCTTAGCAAGACCCCTATAGCAAAAGACATTATGTATTCTCTCTGTGTATTCATTCATCTGTACTTGGATGCTTGGGCTATATTTCAGTCTTGACTTTTGAAAATACTGCTCAGCGTGCATATATCTTTTCCAGTGAGTGTTTTTGTGTTGTGGAGATATATGTCTAAGAATGAATTTTTTGGTTCACATGGTGATTCTATTTTTAATATTTTGAGAAATTTCTGTTGTTTTCCAATATACATTCCCACCAATGAGTAAAAGGTCAGGAGGCCTCTTGCCTATCGTCCCAATGTCCAGAAAGGCTCCCATCACCTGAGATAGTAGCACTGTCTTTCCACAAAAACTAGCAGTTAGAAGTGCAGAGCTTGATTCCTGTTTTGTCTTGATTATATAAGTTAACTCCATCCTCCTAATTATACTCAGCTAGCATTCTAATTGCAATACCTTCTAGATTGTCTCATTCTGATGACTCAGTTACAAATTTTGACACAAACTCCCTTGCCTCCACACAGGCCTCTGAATTCTTCCCTGATCAACCTCATTCCCAGTTCTTTCTCCCCTAATCCTAGTGATTTATCTTTCAACTGGATTTTTTTTTATCTTTTGTGGATCCTTACACCCATTAATTTCTAATTTATTATTCTCTAGGTCAGTTGTCCTACTAGTGCTTGATATTATGATTCATTACATAGTGGCTTGGGGCTGCAATATCAACCCCTTGCCTCAAATTTTCTATCTGAGAGCAGACAGATCCTGAACTCCATTTGCCAGAAAATTTGTAACAGTAACAGAACTCTTGTATTATTCCTTGTCAGCATCTAGTACTGAGATCAGAGGCTGGAACAAATGCTTCACAAATATTTGGTAAGCAACTGGATTTGGATTTGCACTAAAATTCTCCACATGGCCATTTTTATTCTGTGCATAACTGACCTTTTTTTTTTGCCATACCCATTAGTGCTCAGAGGACTATATGAAATGCTGCAAATTGAACCTGGGTCAGTGGTGTGCAAGGCAGGCATCTTACCTCCAGCTCTCGTAACTGATCTCACATAAATATTCATTGAATATAATTTATCTAGTAAATGTTTGACTTAAAAATACAAGGTGCAGAATATTAAAATTTGGATTACAAGTCACTAACGTTTCCTAACCTTTCAGAGCTATATAATAAAGACATCTATTCTAGAAATGAGATGTGGTTATGCAGAAGTTTATATATTTAAAATAAATTGATATATTTTATAACACTATAAAATGTGAGTTTTTCCACATTTCATAATTTCATTATGAGGTATATTCTAAGTTTGAAAATACTAGCATATAGGTCAAGTTTATGTATATTTTTAGTCTTTTAGGCTACACCTAGAGGTGCCCAGGCCCTTACTGTGGCTCTGTGTTCAGGAATCACTCTTCTTCATGCTATGTGTGTTGCCAGGAATCAAATTTAAGTTGGCTGCATGCAAGGCAAGTGACTTACCTTGTATATTATTTCTTCTTTAAATGAACGTTTCTTCTTTAAATGCCGCTCTGTTTAATGTTCATTGATTTAAAGAAGGCCTTTGATTCTGTTGAGACGGAAGTGGTCAATGAAGCCCTAGCCAATCAGGGCATTCAAGCCCAATACATCAGGATCCTCCGTGAGCTGTATTGCGGATTCACTACCAGGATCTCACCATTCTACAAAGAAGTGATCGTTGATGTCAAGAGAGGGGTGCGGCAGGGTGATACCATTTCACCGAAACTCTTCAGTGCCACCCTCGAGAACATCATGCGATGACTAGAATGGGAAGGAATGGGAGTGAAGATAGATGGTCGGCAACTACACCACCTCCGCTTTGCTGATGACATTGTTTTAATAACACCAAATATCAGCCAAGTGGCACAAATGCTGGCCGACTTTGACCGTGAGTGTGGAAAGGTAGGACTACAGCTGAATCTTACGAAGACAATGTTTATGAGAAACAGCCTCGTTCCTGACGCCCCATTCGCTCTCAACGGAACAACCATCTCCGAATGCAACAGCTATGTGTACCTAGGTCGAGAAGTCAACATGACAAATGACCTGGCACCCGAGCTGCGCAGGAGGAAGAGAGCGGCTTGGAACGCCTTCAAGAACGTCGAAGAAATAGCTAAGAGGATGAAGAACCTCCGGCTCCGGGCACATCTCTTTGATTCCACTGTTCTTCCTGCATTAACATATGCCTCAGAGACCTGGGCCCTATGCAAACAAGATGAGAACGCTATTCAGGTCTCCCAAAGAAGAATAGAAAGAACTATGCTTGGAATATCACGTTTCACTCAAATAAGAGAAAGAATCCGGAGTTCTGACATCGGTCGATGATCAAGAATCAGGGACACTGTCTCATTTGCCAAGGTGTCGAAAATCAGATGGGCTGGTCACGTAATGAGATTTAAAGACGACCGCTGGACTAGAGCTGTTACCGACTGGATTCCACGGGATGTCAAAAGACCGTGTGGCCGCCCACCTACCAGATGGTCAGACTTCTTTGTCAAGATCATGAACGATCGGTTTGAGGCTCTTCATGTTCCCGGAGTGAACAGATGCCATTGGGCTACACTAGCACGCGACAGGGACAAATGGAGACGTTACTGGCGCCCACTCGAGCAAATCGACGACTAACGGGAAGTTAAGTGATTATTAAGTGATTAAGTGATTATTTCTTCAGTTCCTCTAGGTAGTTTTTAAAGCTGAAGATAACCTAGCTAAATAATGTGGGTAACAAAAAGAGGAGGGTGAAGATTTAGCTAAGGGCACAAAAGCATTTCACTGTTGGAGAAGGACTCAGCAAAGAAGTGTTAAAAGTGGATACTCTGGTGGTGCGTGTGGTGTTGGAATGATGTATGCATGAAACCATCATTAACAATATTGTAAATCACAGTGCTTAATAAAGATAAGAAAAATCAGGTCAGAAATAAGATAAATACAAAAGTATTAGCTACTGCAAAAATTAAGTGAAGAAAATGCTTACTGAGAAATTACTATGTCAAAAGTTGATTTGTAAGATGAAGACTGAGTATGGTCCATCTATTGGATTTGGTAACATGTTGGTTGTTATTAAGTTTGAGCATTGTGAAGGGACGCATGTTCAACTGGATAAGTGAAGACAGGATTACAACTTCAAAAGTGGAAACAGGGGCTGGAGCAGTAGCACAGCGGGTAGGGCGTTTGCCTTGCACACAGCCAACATGGCCAACGCAGGTTCGATTCCCAGCATCCCATATGGTCCCCCGAGCACTGCCAGGAGTGATTCCTGGGTGCATGAGCCAGGAGTGGCCCCTGAGCATCGCTGAATGTGACCCAAAAGGCAAAAAAAAAAAAAGTGGAAACAGTGAAAATTTGAAAAAAAAAGTTCCTCGGAGGGATGGATTTACTCATACCTAGTCTGTGACTTGAGGTTCTGGGTTCTATTTCTAGACTTGGGGGAAAAATGTGTGAGGTGTGATGTGGAGAGATCAGTGAACATAATAAAGTCCTTGTATGTACAAAATGAGTATTTTATCAATAAAATCTAAAAAAAGTTTCTTTACATAATAGGGAATTATGTAACTATAAAGATTGTACCAAGATGTATTACTAAATATTAAGGTAAATATTTTAATAAGAACACAAAATCTTAAATGCAACAAATATTTTATCAGAAGATTTTCAGACTGTGTACACACACAAATATATTTTATACACTTGATTTTACATACTCAACTTTAAATGATGAAACATTACTGTTCAAGATATGACTACTCAAAAGAGAAGCATAAACATTTCCTTTGTAGTGTTTGCAAAATCTTTCTAGACACCTTGTTAGACAGTTACCATGCAAAATACGTATGAACTAAGTAAGATAAATATATCCCAGGCAACAAAGTTTGAAATTTTAGATAATTATAGGCATCCTGAATGAATAGTTTAGAATAATGTACCACTGTCATCAAATCATATCTTCATATACATTTTAATCCACTTAGCACAATGGTCTTCAACTCAGTGTATATGTAATTAAATAGTTAGGTGTAGTAAAAGCTGTGTTAAATTGAAAGTTTGCTTTTTCAGTTTAAAGAAATGAATAGAAAACACAGTCTAGTGAACATCAAAGTGCTTTTTTGAGACAGTTAAATCTCATCAAAGAGGTCTTCTGAACTGGTGTTTTTTAGAGTTTCTAAAGACAGGTTTTCATCCGAGCTGTGCTTTTCCGATGTCTCAGGTGGTGCAGTATCAAGCCTAACGTGAAAAGGAGACCAAGATAATTTGATTAAAAAATTTCATACAGTACAAAAGGAAATTAAAAGATACATAAGTGAAATGAAAGTTAAGCCCTGTTTCAGAAATGGCTTTGAGATTTATTTCCATTACTTAGAAAGCGTGTGATAAAGGATTTAAATTTCTTTAAATACTTTAGAATTAAACTATGTCTATTAAGAACAGAAACTCAAGATTTTTACAGTAATTCTCATAATCAATGTCAAGAAATAAATTATTTTCTGTGCTGTAGTTTTTAGATTAATTAGAAAACTTCTCTAATAATTCTTTACTGACTTCATCACAATACATTGTTCTTTGGCTCTCTCCAATTCCACCTATCACCATGCCTTTAATTATTTATCTTTTTAGTTCTGGGGCCACACCCAATGGTTAACTCCTGGCTCTGTGCTCAGGAATCACTCCTGGGTGCCGGCAATTGAACCAGGGTCTAGTGCATACGAAGAGATCACTCTACTTGCTGTACTTCCTCTCTGTTCTTTACATTTAAATCTGAATTGGTCTACAGAATTTAAACCTCAACTGGTCTGCAAAACAATTCTACCAAGGGTAAGATGGGGCAGCAGTGGCTGAGAGGGGTCCTAAGAAGATGGTCAAAGGAAGCAGATACTCTGGTGGAGGGTGGGGGTTGGAATGCTATATGAATGAAAACCTAACATTAACAGTATTGTAAATCACAGTGACAAATAAATTTCAATAGCAGAAACCTCTGATAACATGAATTTCCTATGGTGGTCATTGATTATAAATGTGTCTGTGATTAAGAATTACTTCACGAGCGCCATCTTTCAGCACACAGCAGTGAACAAAACTGGCCGGTGGGCTTCACAGCTCCCGGAGAATTCTCCAGGCCCCATAATGAGCCATTATCACTGGGAGGTCCCAGATGAGTAGGTGCTGTCTCCCCGCCTTCTCCAGATGGAATCCCAGCGGCCATGAGTTTCTACAAGCATGGCTCCCGTATGTGGGCACCAGGACTATTCTTCCGAACCGCGCGGCCACGTCCTGATATGCAAAGTGAGCAATGGAAATAAATGATCTAGTGTCTTTCCCTGGAAGGCATGCTTGAATGGTGGTGGGAAAATCTGAGCAAAATATAATGGTCAACCGAAATGCATCTGGACTGTGCATTTAACTACGGTGTTATACCGGCCTGGGAGGGGAAGGGTGTTTGTCCCTCTGCCTGTTCCCCCTTGCAACGGTGGCATGGTGGCCTCCATCTTTTGGAGCCTAATGGACAGCCAGGTATGGGACTGCATTAATGCGGCAGGCGGGGCCTCATGGGATGGGGCCACGTGGAATCGGCCTTGCTCCCTGCCCTGAAAGGCCCCGGGTTGCCACCCACAAACACCTCCTCCTGGCTCCTGAATGACCATGATCCCAGTGGCACACAAACCAATCTCAGAACCTAGGGGCTTTTGGCAGTATGCCCTCTAGGCTTATTACTAAAATATCAGAAATCCAAAATCACATGGCTGCTATTACAGCTACATGACATCATATGCGCTTCATAACCAGCAATAGAAAAGAAATGATCTAATGACGTCTTTTTGGCAGGTCTGTATGTTAGGGAAAACTCCAAATAATAATGTTGGGTCTTTTGTCGTAATACTGAATGTGATCTATGTAGAGAGAGTAAAGTGGAAATCTGCCACACAGGCGGGTGTGGGGGGAGTGGTTGGGAGGGGAGTATACTGGGGTTCTTGGTGGTGGAAAATGTTCACTGGTGAAGGCATAGGTGTTTGATCATTGTATGACTGACCGAGACTTAAACTGAAAGCCTTTTTGACTGTTCTCACGGTGATTCAATAAATGAAACTTAAAAAAAAGAATTATTTCACATTTTAGCAGTTGTTGGCCCACATACATTTACTGAATCTACCTACATATCTTCAGGTAGTAAACGAAACTTCAATGTCAGTATTGCAGCTACTATATCAATGGACTGACTGCTGTATTAATGTAAATTTTTTTTGATCCAAGGATAAAAGGAATAATCACTTATATTAACTGGTCTTGAAAAGAGTGAGTTAGAGAATAAACTGATCTCAATCAGAAGTATAATTTGGAATGTATATTCATCATACCCTTGTACAAACTTTGCCATTGATTCTCTATGGTACCAAAGCAAAATGTGCTTAAAATGGACAACTGGAGGGTGGGTTCAGGGGCAGTGATGGTTAGGTTGACTCAGCCCAGTAATGACCAGTAATGACCAGAGCACTGCCACAATTTCAGCTCAAAGGCAGAACGGAAACAGTAAAAGCTTTGCACAGTTGAAGGAGGGTGAGAATTGAAGTCAGGGCGTATACATTGAGGTATTTCCAATTGTGACTATGCGACTTCCAAAATTAAGGTACTAATAACTATGTCACAAGTAGCCAAGATTAAATGAGGTGATATAAATAAAAATATGTGTAAAATTTTCACAAAATATTGATACCATTATTAGCAGTGAAACACTGCACAAATGATAAAAGAGCTCCTGCTAAGACCTTCTCTAATTTAGACAGAACAACTCATTAAAAATGCCCAACTATAAACTATATTTAGATTATAAATACTTTAAAAGCAACTCATATTAGTTACCCAGATCATTCAAAATGAATCCATCACAGGGTCTTACTTGGCATTCTGGCTGCAAGCAATTAACCATGGTTGGCTGCCACTAGATGTGGGACAAGTCTGTCTTAATCTGAACAAACCATGTTCAAACAACACTGCTCTCATAAGAATGCCAAGGTATTCAACATTAATGCACTGTCAAGATGACAAGTACTACCCTGTGGGTGTTTTAGTGTTAAAATTAACAATAAATATGGACATAATTATTATAACATGCAATTAAATATCTAGAAATATATTCCATAGGAGAAAATGATTCAATATAAAGTGAAAGTATAATTACTACATGCTAAAGTTTTCACTGTTAACTAAAAACATATTAAACACGTTTCTCAATTATTTACTGTAAATTTTTCTCTTCCTAGGCAAAATAAATAAGTTATTTATATGAAAAAGGCAGACATGGAAAAACTTTAGTAATTTTGTTCACAGTCTAGACACTACAAAACAGAATGCATGACTTCCCTTTTAACTTTCTGGGAGTTGAATTATCAACATATTTTAAAATATTTCTACTTACTGACTCATTGTATAAGATATTTTGTCTTCCATAAAAGTATTATCATAGTCAGAAATACAGTCTTTTCTTATTCAAATGACAAGGATTAGTCCTGAAGTGAATTACTTGTATTTCACAACATATTATGGCAATAATATTTCTGAGACAAGTTAAAGTACAAATCTGAGAAAATTAAGAGGTCCAAACAAATGTGTGAACGACTTACAGCACTGTAAGATCTAAAAATTCATATCTGTCTGTGACATAAAGTGATTCTGTAATTAAAAAAAACCCAAACACTTTTTTGTGGACAGTTCTTTCCCTATCTTTAAAATACATGCCCAAACAAATGTCAATTTCAGGTGAAGTAAATACTTAAATTACAAAGGTAAATCCTTCAAGACTTTACAAGAATATAAAAAATGACACTGGATCTTAGAAAAACCAGTTATAGAATTTGCACAGGGGAGATCACAGTACAGCTACATACAGGAATAAGTCAAAATAATGTTCAACAACAATAACAACAACAACAACAACAACAAAAGTAGGCATAATAAAATGCACAGGATGTGATTTATTTCTTTGAAGTTCAAAGCCATGAAACACCATATTAATCTTTTAACACTGATGTGTGTGTCCGTATATGTGTGACTATGTATGTATTTGTGTGTAGGAATAGAGAGAGGGAGAGAGAATTTTTGTTACAGGAGCAAAAGATCAAGTTTATCTCTGGACTCAGAGACTGAGCTGTTTCCACTTGCCATCTAAATGCTATTTTTCTATATTTTGAAAAAACTTTGACTTGATGAACTTGCAAACACATGTTAGGTAAATTACTTTCACTCACTATGAATTATTTTGAGTTCAGAGGTAAAATCTGGAAAAATGCTTTTATGGTTGTGATTTACTGTAGACATGAACAGGCAATGCTGTGGTCACATAAAAAAAATCTAGCAAAACAGTTAATTTGTGCTTGGTCACCAAGAAAGACATTCTAAAGAAACCTTTTCTCTTATGCTATGCTTAAAATACTTTTTAAAAAGAATACTTATTATTTATTAAAAAATATTTTTTTAAACCAACTTTGCTGGCTTCTACCCACCTCATCTCTGACTTCCACCTGGGATTGTGGGTAAAGCTCATAATTGGATGAGGAATAAAGACAAGTGAGAAAGTCAAGAAAATGCACTGGAGGTCAACCAGCCCTGGTTTTTGGTTTGAATAAACATTATTTTGTAATAACAAAAATCCACTCCCGGATATCTATGAACAACAAGTGTTGGCTTGGATGTGGGGAAAAAGGAGCCACCATCCACTGTTGGTGAAAATATCAACTAATTCAACCTCTTTGGAAAAAAATTATTGGTGCTTCTTAAAAACTAAGAATTGGCAAAAATAAGCATCAATAAGCTCAATGACCTCATCAAAATATGGAGAGAAACAAAAAAATGGAGAGAGAACAAACACTTCTCTAATAAAGACAGAAGGTGACCAATAGGCATATGAAAATGTACTCACTGTCTCTACAATCAGTGAAATCGAAATTAAGATGACAGTAATGGGCTGAAGAGATAGTATAGTGGTGGGTTCTTTCCTTGCATAGATGTGTTATTTTGATCCCTGGCACCCCATATGGTCCTCCAAGCCCATCAGGAGTAATCCCTGAGTTTAGAACCAGGAATAAGGCCTGAGTACCACCAGATATGGCCCTCCCAAACAAAATAGGATGACACAAATGATGGTTTTGCCACAATATGAAAATTGCAGTCGTAGCCTCCATCTGCTGCTGTGACAAATAACCACAATGCAGTGATTTAAAACAACACAATTCATT